AATATGAACCTTTTGTCATCTACAGTATGTTTTTTAATGCTCTTCCTAAAATTTTGCCGTAATAATATTTGATTGAAGTCGGCCCTGGACATAAAAGGGTCTCTCAGAGATATGAGAGCAAGAAGGATATGAACTAGTATATATTTGTTAAAGAAGATAGAGTCTGTCAGGTAAATCCCGACAAAAACACGACACCGTTAAAAAAGTATAAGGGGAATCAGACCAGACACTCCGGAAGGGTAGGAGTTTTCTGTTTCATCGACGACACCCTCGATGTAAATTTAGGTCAATTCCAAGAAATGCCACGCACTTTAACAGAAAAATGCGGTACTTACATGTCACTCTTGTAAAATACTATCCGCTTCCTACCGACTCGGCTTTGGAGAATTCTCTATAGCTCATTTGGTAGAGCATAAGACTAGTATGCCAGAGGTCCCGGGTTCGTTTCCTAGCGGAGACATTGAAACATAATGACATATGTTACATACATAAAGTAAAAAGCACCATTATAAGCATAAGCAAGTGTATCGACATTCATAGCACATGATAAAAACGTATTTCCCTTTAAGAACGATAACAACCATACACTGGAAACCCTATGTTGTAAGTTTGTTCAACCTTGTGTTCGTAAGGCCGATATCCATCAGGGAAGTCGAAGCAAGTTATTGCGTACCGAATCAACTGCCACAAATAAAGCAACAAGAACCTTAACAGATAAAGAATGCTTTAAATACGAATTTCCATGTTTCATTTTACCTTTGTGATAACAATTATATTAGGCATTTTACTGTTTTGAAGACGTCCTTGATATTTATATAGAACATTGATACTGGATACTGGTCACTCAAAGCGGCTCCAAATACAAATATCTGCTTGACGGAAATATGACAGAAGGTTTGCGACTTCGTGGTATTAGGGCCACACTTTATCATTCTCTGTGCTAAATAGCTTAACTGACCTACCTAAAAAAGTGTAAATATCAATGATTTAAAACAGCATGTTGACAACTTTCTTGCGATGTTCCTCATACTTATTACATCAACTATATGCTTCCGGGTCATGGTTCGAGAACGAAAGAAAATCTTCAAACGAGTTCCCGCAGCAACAAGATCTATGCACATTATATGTATGAGGGAACATATTTTGGTATAGCCCATTGGTGGTTCTTATCAATGAACGTCAGCATACAAACTTCTAAGCTGAATGACGTCCGTTATTTGTTGTCATAGAACCAATGTATATAATGTAATGAATTAATACCATTACAATGAATTTATCCTGAAGTAAGGTACATATATTCGTAATCGGTTTCTGCGTAATCCGTTCTTCAGCCATTAATAAATACTCCTTATATAGCACCAGGATTACCTGTATGGCTAATCCAATCTACGACGTCATCATCAGCATCCCGGTCATGTGATCCCTTCGCCAGGTCGAAGCAATAAGATTTAATCTCAAAATATGTTATTAGCAGTCTGACCGTCTCAAAGTGACAGGAAGGAGTGAGAATTTTATGTGTGGTACAGGTACGTAAAATTATCGTAATTGCAGTTTGATAAGAATAATGCAAAACCCATTGTACAGGGTACTTTATATTTATTTATTACTTTTATGAGTAATATATATTTATATATATATATACATATGAGTGTGCATACACTTGTATAGTGTAAAGAAACGTTCGTTTTTATACATAGTATACATTATTTGTATATAGTGTTTAAAAACGTAATTACATGTAAAATATTTGTATACAATAGTTTATAATAACTAAAAATGCTGCTTGCCAAGCCCAACGCTGAAATCAATTACACGGCGGTTTATCTGTCGTGCTGTAATGTAATTTCTACCAGTTTAGTTCCTGCCCTAAGCTGGATATTTTTACATTTTACATCATATGTGTTCGTGCCTGTGAGTTTGGATGAGGATGTAAAATCGTAACAAAAGAAAACATTACTTTGTTCCTGCACAAATGTTTGTTTCATCATTTTATCAAGCATTTTGTTTAAAATTTACCAGGAACGAAGCAGAGAAATATTTCTAAAAAAAGGCTTGGAATTGTCACGTAAATATAAGATAGCGAGATGCATCATGAAATCACTTTTTATATAATATTAACTGTTATGTAGTACATGTATTTATATTAACAAAACATACTTTGAAATTACGCTTACATAGGTACACAATGGTATTATAGATTACAGAAAAATGAAGATCTCTGGGTAACATAAGAAGGTTTGATAATGCCGATTGTAGCAAAACAAAGCACGTTCCACATGATTAAACATTAGTCTTTAAGTGAACATTTGATCTTTAAAGAGATCGTAAATAACGCTTAAAACATTGGTTACGATGATACAATATCAAGGTACCAAATTACAGTAAACTGGATTGAGCGTAGACATCTCCGAACGGTAAATCATTTCAATCACTTCTTTGAAGTTCTGCATGCTACTATGTTTGCGTACGTACTTGACAAAAACCTTTTCTCCTCAGTTACTACAATCTGTAGTTCGCACCAAATTCATTATATTTTAGGGCTGAGGCTAATCACATGATCTCTTTTGATCATTGTCATAGTCAGTCGTTCCTTACATCGGGTTTTCATGACACAGTAACAGATTAACAGTGACAGACATACCATGTAACAACGTGTGTATGATAATTAAATACTATTACCTGCTTCCAGAAAGAACAAGGCTTGCTAGATAACCAAGGAAAGGCCTACCTGAACAGGTTTTTTTCCAAAGACAAAAAACTAGAAAATCATGCTTCTGTACAACAATCTTTCGGAACACCCATTAGTGATAAGGATACGGACCTTCCTAGTTTTTATTGGATTCACAAGAATTCTTATAAACAACGTTTTATCGTTGGGTCTTCTAGTTGCTCAACTAAGCTATTAACCAAATTTCTTACTAAAATTCTCAGTATCAAGTCGGGGTTAAAGTCGTATTAGGATAATGTATATTCAAGAAGTGGAATAAACTAAATAAAGATTAAAAAAAAAATCAAAAGATCTTTTTATCGATTTTAAACATCTTTTCCTCAAAAATGTGTGTTACACCACCTTTTCCTCATACCAAACTAAAGGAACGCCTGCATGTACATTCTTTTGTTATGCGAACTTTCATTCAGGGGTACGGCGACATAAAGTTAAGGTTGTAAATTATTTTGAACTTCTTTACAAATTCGTTAAAAGTAAACGAAAGCCAAACCTAAATATATTGAGGACGATATTGTGAGAATAATTGAGTTCCTGGTTGACAATAACTATTTTGAGTTTGGTGGCAAGATTTTCCTGCAGACTGTGGAACTGTGGAATAAACACTTCCTCTCCTCTGGCCGTTTTGTTTCTGTTTTTAACAGAAGATGAATTCATTGTACAGACGTGGGTAATTAATCAACCCATGATGTACCACATTCACACAAGCTGCTCGTTGACCATACACCTGTTACACCTGTCAGGGAAACACACCTGATAATACAGTTGCATTAATTAATTACACTAAGATAGCTTAACATTAAAATGATGCCTTCAATGTGCCGTCGATCACAATATCTATGCACTCCGTCTAAATTCACGTTTGTTTCACAATCAATATTTATTTCTTTAATATAAATAAATTGAAAAATGATACCTAAATTTATGAAATTAAGAGATATTTACTTGTTTGAATTGTTGTATGCTAACTGTTGCAGGTAACATGTGGTCAGCGCATTACACGTAGGTTTGGCCATCGTTAGCACATTATAACCATGACAGCTTGTAGTCATGGAGCCATGTTAGCTTACAACTAGTACGATAAAGGTACTTAGTGGGTTATTCTAAGAGAACAAATTAAGTTTGCATGTGCAGGATACGCCAGTGACAGAATGTGGACTAATCTTTATGGCGTTGAATTGACTTTCCAACAGAAGAAAGTAGGTTTTTTTACATTTCATTCTAAGTCAGGATTATTTATCAAAGGGATCATTACATGAGATTAAAGGGATACTTTTCCCCCATTTTATTGATTTCGTATATTAATTATTCTTTTAGTGTTTACAGTATTTTACCAACAGTTTAACCCCTTAGATAACAAGCAAAGATGTTTTGGGTACACCAAACTTATTAAAGGCCTCTCCTCTATAGTTGTAAAGAAGATTTTGACAGTGATAATACATTGCCAGATAGCAAAAGTAATGCCGATATTGGTAAAATGAAATTAGAAATTACAAACAAAAACAGAAGGTTAATTTTGTATCCAATAAGATAAACATTTTACTTATGCATGCCAGGGCACATACTTATTACACACTATGGCCATATTCTCTGTCCAAGTGTAAATATAACTAAAACCTATTATTTACTCGCGTGAGGGGCGTATGTGACCTCTAACTATGGCGACCGAGTGTGTCTACTCCAGAGGTTATATATAAAAACAAAGCAGAACAGAAGGGTGATAAAGATGTGTTGTCTTAAACAGCCATATCAGTTAAAGATTCAGTCCTTTATTCACTTTCCTAATGGTCTATTTTTTATTTGTACATAGTTTTTTTTCTTCCTTAAATTATTCAAAGTGTAAATGAAAAACCATATATAGACATATTTTGCGGTTTATGTAATAAAATTCATGAATGTGAAAATCAAATCATATCCTGGAAATTCAAGCTTATTTTCCTGTTCGGGTCAAAGAACACATGATTTGTGAAAAATTAAACAATATAATGTTATGAAGCGTTATTTAAAACATGATACGACTAATTTTTCATTATGACTTATTTTCACAACATATGTGTACTATTAAATAAATCAGAAAGCTGTGTTTAACCGTATATGTATATAAACCATTTATTAGCGGCGTAATGTTTAAGATAGATGAGAAGTTATGTATGAATGTTTCCCTTGCCTATGTGTACATATAACGCAATTGGACTAAAGTGACTTACTTTTCAATTAGTTTTGTTGTATATATCTTTTTGTTTTAAATATCTCATTGCAGATATCTGCTTTTAAAATGAACGACAGCGTATGTGCATACGACTACTCGGTGGTAGAAGACCTCCAAGGAAAAAACATCACAGATGGTGACAGACTAAAATGGCCGTGTCAGCTGAGGGTTCTCTGGGTAGATATTCTCCCGTTTGTAACACTTGTCCGTGGTCTGCTTTCTTACGGGACATCCATAGTCATCATACTTGGTTTAATTGCCAACTGTATATCCGTAATTGTGCTGACCCGGAAGCACATGCGAAAGTCCACGACTAATCTGTATCTCTCGGTCTTAGCCGTTTACGACATGCTTTCACTCACAATGAACTTTATGATCGGAGTTTTGAGGGGTCAAAACTTGGCAGTCAACAAGGATTTCCAAGATCATGAGTCGCTCTGTAAATTTCATGGGGTAATTGTTGAGCTCTTTAACCTTTTATCAGTCTGGGTGATCCTGTCATTCACAGTGGAAAGATTCATTATGATAAAATTCCCTCTGAAAGCCAAGGCCTTGACAGTTCGACGGGCAGCACTAGCGATTACCGGAGTGTCCTCTGCAGTTTTCCTCTTCTCCATGCACAAAATCGCCGTTTCCGGTTTCGAAGGAGATTCTGTGTTCGGGTACAAAGCTTGTAAGACGCGGCGTGCAATAACTCCGGAAATCATATATTTTTATGTAGCATTCAACACATGGCTGCCGACTTTTATCATTGTTGGTCTTAACGCCTTAATCATCTTCGAAATCCGAAAAAACAGCATCAAACGGAAGGCAATGACAACCACATCGCTAACAAAGAAAGATGAAAAGGCCACTAAGCTACTGCTTATTGTATCAAGCACTTACGTGATCCTGATTTTACCTCTAGGTTTGATTCAGTCGACTGAACTGATTTGGAATACAACCGCTAAAGTAAACCCCGGTCAACAAGGCTACATAGATTTCCAGTCAACTAAAATCAAACTTAAATGGGCCAGGGCATTTTTCTTTTTCTTCTATCAGTTTAACTTTGCGATCAACTTCTTTCTGTATGTTTCATCCTCATCTGCAACAAGATTTCAAGCAACCCTGCGGAAATTGTTCGGAATGAAGGTCAAGGACGAAGAAATGACATGGATGCGCACGCAAGCAACGAAAAGTAATGCCGTTGCGCCAAGCGCACCGTCTGCATCTGTAGTTCCTGTTGAATCCTAGACTAATCATTTTGCGTGGTAAATGTGTTACAACCATTATTATAATGTGATATATCAAAACGAACAATAGATATTAGTTTCAGACCATGTGCATTCAGAAATGAGGGCGGAATTGTAGGACATAATTTGAGGTGAGATTTTGCTTGACTGACACTTTACGTCATTTACTTTATCTTTTATCTGAAAAAAGGTCTACATATTTGTACAACCGTACATATTTCTTGATTGCAAAAATATGGTTGAGACGTTGTTAATTATTCAAAACAGGATAATGGCAAGCGTTGACTGACAGTCGCGTTATTTTCATCATCTTCAGAAACTTTTATCATGTTGTAGAATAAACACTATTTTGAGGAAAGTCGGTGAATCAAAATGACTGAATTTTAGTTCTGAAGGTTCTTGTCTTTGTGGGCCAGAGCGTAGCAGATAAAAGTTTGACGCTCAAACGGTCTAACACAAGCCAGAAAATGTTCTTAGAAAACCAACTTGTCTTTTTACTTTTTCATGCTGAAATTAGACGAGATTATGCAATATTATGTCTTAATTCTTGATTCACCAAAGGCAAATAAATGACACAGGAAATTACCTTTCAAATTGATTTGGTTTCTGTCATAGGATCTCGTGCAACTTCTCGCTTACGACCCAAAATGTTTAACATCGTTTCACTAGTTCAAATCAAACATGACATTGTTAAAGTGGTTGATGTCTGTGATCATTGTTATTATTCCTCGTGTGAATCGCGCTGAGATACGATTGAAAACGATAGCATGCATGAATATTATTTTGAATAGTACAGAACTGTTCATTGTTTTGTTCGATCGATGTTTTTTGCAACATAAAAAATGTCTTTTGTTTCTTTTCCCTTTACAAAATAACCAGACCGATGGAAACCCGTAGTTAGTGTATATCTGTGTTAAGCGGGTTTTCACATGTCGTTGAATACGTATGACAGACAAAATAGTTTGAATATAAAGTAATTAGTAACATATTGGGAGGAGCACATATCAATGAAGTGTAGTAAATCTTGAACAGCAACTGAGAACTGTTCGTTTGATTGACAGATTACACATGTACCGAACTATATACCAATAGAGGATCGGCAGTTCTGTAATAGATAAATATGATAAGAAAAAGAAAATATATTGAAAAACCTCGAGGATGGTTCATAAAAACAATACCATCTTAAATCGCTGATATTCAAATGATCTGATTGAAGTCCCTTTTAGCGGTCAAGAAATCGATACTTCAGATACACTGCGCAAAGGATATATGGAGAAAAATATCAAAAACACATTTATTTATTTTCTATCTTTTTTTAAATTTATTGTTTGTTTTTGTTTTATTTTGTTTTTGCTTTTTGTTTGTGTTTGTGGTTTTTTTTTTTTTGATAAATCTACTTTGGTAGCAAAATATGTTGCTCCATATTGTTTTCCTTGTGATATGACGTTTACCAGTTTCATAACTGTTTCAACGTAATACAAATAGACAATCTTGTTTTCATGAAACCGTGTAATTTAGTATTAATTTTAACTTGTTAAGGTGTATCATAGTCCCTGTGTTCATGTGACCTTTGCTGTTGATATGACTTTAAACCCCAATCGATGTAATTAAAAAAGTGTACATGGGGTGACATTTGTACATAAACACCGTAATAACTGATAAACAACCGTTTGGTGTGTTCCATGTCATAAAAAACTCCAAAGCACCACTAACCTGGCAGGATCGGTTTCAAGAAACACGTTTTGTTTTATTCATATTTTGCTTTTTCTTATTTGATAATTGTTAAACCTTAAGAAAAGTCTTGCGTTAGCTAAAGAACTTTTCTGAAAGTGGGGGTTTCTCATTTTTAAGATTGCAATTTACATCCGTCCCATTGTCAGCATTATTGATCTTAAATCAAAACGTTATAGCCAAATATCAGATGGAACATTCCTCTCTCAGTTTCAGTGCGGTACTCAAAAACGCAGGCAACCCTTGGATATATAACTGCTAAATCCGATAGTGTATAATCGATTCCGCAGGAAACCATAGACTGTATATATTGAGCTTTGGAAATCCTACAGAATAAAAAATATAATGGGGATGGAGGAGGTTCCAGATCTTTGTAGTTTCATTTCTCTTATAAATCGCATCGTATTTATAAGTATATAAGGTTTTCCAGATATCCCTAAATTATTTAATTTTACATAACCTTCATTTTTTTTTAAAAATAATGCAGCACTTTGATTTGCTGATACATTTCACAAACTTATTGATGTTCAGCAAAGCATACGATCATAAACATTTGTCTTCAATCATTATCATTGGTTCAGATGAGAGCACATACATCTTAACTTGTATTATATACATCATTAATGTGTGATATATTTCTTGTTGTATGCTGTATATGTATTTACAATAAAGATGATGTTGTTGATGTAGTTCAAATGGTTATCTTCTATTTTTTACTTCAGCTTATAACAACATATCTGATTGGACTACATTGATCACATGACGGGAAAATAAACCATCGTGTAGGCCTCACGCACTCGAGTTTCACCGGTCATATATACCTTTTTCTGAGACTCTTTAGAAAATGGTCAAAAGGCAAAATATCCCAGTTCCGAGTGACTGGTTCCATGTGTCATTTCTTGACAAAATTAATGCTTAATCAAAAAAGTAATTAAGTATGATAAAACAAAAAAATCAAATATTTTATTATCTTTTCAATTTTCGAACTTTTATGAATGTTGAATCAGGCATGTGGCATCCAAACGTAAATAAAAAAATAAATACAATAAGTAAAAAAAAGAAAATTGAATATGGTTTATCAGTGCATGGATGTCCAAAACAAAAATCATACCACAGTTCCTTTGGGTAAATTACATGAATTTGATGGGTTATTTTTCATTCGCGAACGGCCGCGGAGTAAACGTTCAATTGGAGCGCGTTTTGATTGATATCATATTGTGGTATCTACAAGTTTGGAAGTATACAAAGAACCAGTTCGGTGAAAGAAGCACCCAATATAAAATAATTATTCATTACTCTATATGAGACAATGTATGACCAAATATTATCAAATAGACCAGCGGATGTGATCCAAATTAATAACTTCAGAGGTAGCTAGATATTACGGAGAGTCATTGGTAAAACAATATTTGTAATGTCTGACTATCCATTTCAATACCTGTGCAAGTTCGGGGAGAGAACAGACCTGCTGTGTTCCACTTGATGATTGTATGAGGTTTCTAAAGGTCGATACTTTAAGGCCGATAATCTAAAGGCCGATAATCTAAAGGTCGATAATTTAAGTGGTCGATAATTTAAGTGGTCGATAATTTAAGTGGTCGATGACCTGTTTGTATATATTAATGTTACAACTACAATGTGGATAAAAGAAGGCAGACGAAACAAAATAAACTATATACAATTTTATAAAAGAAAATGTCAATATAAGCTGAATTTGGCGCATTCAATGGAAAGGATAGTTTATTACGAAATACGTTTAAAAGTGATTTCTTATTACAAACATGCTTTTCTCACGTTCCCTGTATCTGATAAACCAGTTATTAACTTTTTACCATTTTATCAATACTTTGATATTCATGCAAAATTCAAACTAGTTTTTGCATGTCATTTTGGGCAACCACTCATAAATTGGTTTTTGATCAATGCCATTTTATTTCTGTTTGAATGACCATATCATGAACAATTCATCAAAATATCGAGGGGTAATTGACGAAGAAATGACCTTGATATCTCTCTCACCAATGCAGAAAACATAACCGGCATGTATGGACAACCTTACAGTACAAGTCGTCTAAACGGGTAACATCTTTAAACAATCAGTTCAGCTTAAGTCCAGTCGGTCCTCCTGTTCATCATTACAATACTGTATGCCGGGAAATTGTCGCTGCTTTTTAATTTTCACCTTTTTCGCCCTCCGTAATGAGGGCAAATTTATTATCACAGCAAACATTTGTAAACTACATTACATATATAGTAATCAAATGTGAAGGTCAACTTTATTATAGGGCAATAGTGGATTTAATAGTCGAAGGGCGAAACTTTAACTGGACGAACATTTCCCGGTACACAGTATACGTTGTCCCTAAGCTGTATGGTTTATTTCACACAATGTCAAAAATGCACACGTAAATACTGCCAGAAGTGTCTGCAACACAAAGTTCCGAATACTTTTTTTTTGTCAAATATGCATATTCTATTATTGTCATTTGAAATACGGACGCCATAATGATTCTTTGACCTGCTCCAAAAACATCATACACTCTCTCTATACTGACATCTGAAATCAGTGTTAAAAGTCAAGTGATGAAAACACAACAAGAACGTAGTGCTTGAGTTCCATTTATTACGAATATATCCTACATACATTTAATAGATACTAAGTGCAACGCATTGATGTCACACAGTTTATACAACCAAAACATGTCAATTTAAATTAAGGTTGCCTATGTGGTGTACATGTTACTTCGAGTTCTCATCGACGAAAGATAAACTGTCATCGGGAACAAATTGAGGTCAACTTGGTTGTGAGGTAATATCAAACATGTTAGTTTAATGTCATAGCAGGCTAAGGTCAAGCCACGTTGGTGTCATATCAAAGCGAGTTAAGATCACGTTTTATGGCATATCAGAATGAAGGCAGTTCACATTAATGTCATATCAAGTGGAGGTCAAGTCACTTCAATGTCATATCAGATTAAGTCAGTCTACGTTAATCTCATATCAGGCTGAAGTCATGTCACGACAATGTCATATCAACTTGGGATCATGTCAGTTCAATGTCATAAGGCTGACGGTCATGTTCCATTAATTTCATATTAGACTGAGACCGTGTCACACTAATGTCATATCAGGCTTAGGCGCCATGTCACGTTAATGTCATAAAAGACTGAGGTAAGGTCATGCTTACATCATGATAAACGGTATCATACCATGGTAATGTCATGCCAGGCTTAGGCCACGTTAATGTCTTATACGACTGAGGTAAGGTCATGTTCACGTCATGATAAACGGTATCATACTATGGGAATGTCATATAAGACTGAGGCAAGGTCATGTTCACGTCGTGATAAACGGTATCATACTATGGTAATGTCATGTCAGGCTTAGGCCATGTCACGTTAATGTCTAATACGAATGAGGTAAGGTCATGTTTACGTCATGATGAACGGTATCATACAATGGTAATATCATGTCAGACTAAGTTCATGTCACCGTGAAGGTAATTCCTGATTGAGGCAAGGTAAGAGAGTAAGGGCACACCAATTTCAGCTCACATCAATCAGACGTTATATGATGTCCAGGTCAAAGCTAGTTAATTGGGTCATGTATTTCATGGCTATCTAAGGTTATATTTAGATCACTCGGAGGTCAGACAAGGTAGAAATCAATTTTGGCACAGCACGTGCCTGAACTTTCTCAGGACATCCGGGTAGTAATAGTAGAGGTCAAACCCACCGGCATATCCTACCCGATAAATGTTTTCCAGACCGTTTTCCCAGTGCACGTACGCCAGCCCAGCGGGTGTATGTTTATCCATGACTACGCCCGTCACGTGATCATGCCCGTCCTGGAATGATCAAATTTTGCATCTGTTTATATCATCAAATCCTTTCAAAATTACATTTTAGACATAGCAATAAGATTATTACGAGGTTATGCAAATTGCATATATATATCAATTAGTAGACTCCCAATCATACATCGAAAATCAATAAATAATTCAAAAACATTTACAGTAAATGATAAGAATAAGTTATAGCCATTTTATGGTTTGATGATAAATTAATGTATTCGCGCTATATAATTATACACATATAGTAACCAGTCTATTTTCCTAGTTTTATTTGGATAATATCATAGTGTAAGATTGCATATCGTGGCTGAGAATGAATTAGTTTTATGTTTATACTCGTGAGCTAACGACACAACGGAAATCATCACTTGCTTTTGAAAAGTTAATACACTTGAATGTAATAAATATCACAATAAAAATCAATCAGTCATTGCATACAATTTACTTAAATTTAAGTATTATGAACTGTTAAATATTTCAAAAAAAAATCTGTTACTGTATTTCATAAATCTATAATTTGAATCATTTATATGGGACTTAAACAATGAATCGTACCTCGTAAGTCTTTTAAGACTGGACATTTTATAGTTTTTATTGTATTATTACTTTATTCAATGCCCTCAAAGATTTGACGCTAATGTAATATATGTCCCTTTATCTTATCTTTCGTGTTGCTTACCTGTTCGCCATAGGTCCAATCCCGTCCTCTGATCACAGCCGTGCCCGCAGTGACGTTACCGGCAACAGAGACATTCGAGTGGGTGAAATGCTCGCACAGGAATTCAGTGACGTTTCCCTGCACCCCTATTGCATTTTGCTGAAGTTCTGTGAATACAACGTAACTTTAAACTTCAAATGAAATGGTTAGCAATAAATTACAATATTTTCATCTTCATCAAGAACGGTTACCGTATTTTGACAGAAATGGTCGATTTAGTTTGAACATAAACCGTTAGAATGAAAACATCGATTGAATGCAATAAAAAATTCCTAAAAAAAGCAAAAAGACGCACTGAAAACAGCTTCTTGTTCTTGCTCTAAATTGCTTCTTTGTACTTCAATGTGTTTCAAATGTGTTTCGGACGGAAAAGTGAAGCAAAACCCGCTTACAAACCTTGAGAGTGTAATAATGTCGTCTGTAGTTCAATGTTGACATCGTCTAATTCAGTCACTTTGTCTTGAAGCTGAGCAAAAGAAGACTGGAGGTCTCGTACACTGGCGTTATAGCTCGCGCTAAAGGATTCCAAATAAGACTGCATCAAAGTTAAAGACGTCGACTGGTTTTGTACTTCAGAGGTAGTGGTGTTTTGTGAAGGAACAGCGTGCTGTAGTTCAGTTACAATTGTCTGGAGTTGACTGACAGTGGCTAATAGTAGACTTACACTTGTACGGAGTTGGCTGTTTTCCTGTTGTTGTAAATTGAAGTTCGACTGTAGATCTTGTAACTGCGATTGAAAATGATTTATTTCCTGTTGGAAAGACACAGCTTCGTTACCTTCCATTGGATTTGGTGGGCTGCTGAGTTCACCGGTAACATCCTGTGTCCAAGACACGGACATTAGAATCACAGCCGCAATTACTGACCAAAACATCTTGAAAACACCGCTACTTTTTTCTTAGTGTACGCATACAGGCTTAATATACGTAAATGTTCCCTTATCAACAACTTTAAGGGAACTCTAGGCTAGTTACATTGGGTTGACGCAAGCAATGTCCGCTTTATTTTGAATGGTAAGAATGAGTTACGACATTGATATGGAAGTTCTGGCCCGGACCATGAAAAAGTCTAGTCATCTTAATAAAAACTAGAAACACACAACTACTTGAACGATATCTAAATACAGATTTTTTCCTGCTTTAAAACGATCAATGGATAACGATGACGCAAAACTGTCAATATCTTTTAATAGTAAAGAATATTAGGTTATTTTTAAAAAAATGAATCAAGCTAACGATTGTTAAAGAAACACGGACAGGTATCGATGCTAGAGATGATTGGGTTTGTACCTGGGCAACACTGGTATGTGGTCATTACGTACAGGTAATAAATCGAATGTTATTATCAATTAGGTTTTGTGGCCACACCTTCTTATACACTAAACGGTGTGGACACTAAATCATCTAAGTTGTTAGAGTATAAGTCTAAGATCCAAAGGTTTCGTGTAACATGTATCTGTAGTAAATTTGATGACTCTGTCCGAACCAAATGTCTTTGTTTACTTTTCACGCGTAGTAATGTAGAATCGGTTAATAAAGATAGCATAATTCCATATCTTGTACAACAACTAACAATCCGATAAATATGTAGTTATATAGGCCTGAACAGTTTATTGGTCAATATCTATTTCTCATGTATCTCACATTCACCTTAACAAAAATCTGAATTTGACAAAATATTAAGTAAACAATATAGCATATATTTTTTTGAAATGGAAATATTATGAGAAACGCACGCAAGGACATGGAACCGGATACAGGTACATAAAATGCGCATACAAACCACAATGAGTGCAGCGCAACTCGAAATTCAAAACTACCTGGAAGAGATGATTATACCTATCAAGGTACGCAAAGTTCTGCAAAATGTTCCATAGTTTTCATTCGACAGGCTGTTCTATACCTTGCTCATCAAATCTGAAATATATTGATCTACATCATGACATAAGAAAGAACATGTGTAGGAGACATTAAACAGGCTTATATGTTATTATGATTATATTATTAAGTATATAAAAATAGATGGCATGTCCTTTTATAGATACCTTTAGAAAAGATAACTCCATTGACCACAGCTTGGAGCATATTGTTCACAAACACCTAACAGATATGAATGATAAATTACAAATAAAATATAATAATTCCGACGAGGTGATCCTTTACAAAATAAATGAAATTCTTTTTTGAAGTATAAAGGGAAGTAGTTTCATTATAACAAATAATACATTTCTCTCACTTGGAAGCTTAAAAATTGCAAGATATAACATGAAAATAACATAAGGCCCAGGTCGGACAAGAAAACGCTATACAAAGTATGAAATAAACACAATCTAAACTTTGATCAGTTGAAAAATATAGATACATCAAAAAGCAAAAATGAAAATAATCAACAAAAAACATAAAAAGCCAAAAATAATTTAAAGAGTAGGGGAAAATATTCATACAAAAATACAAAGATGGTGGGAACAAATCTTACATTTACGAAGATCTCCGCCCTAGAGTTCTAACAGTTTGTAGAACGTTCGTTAATATATGTGAGGTCAATTAACAGACTGGTGACCTCCTCAAATCTTAAGGTACCTTCGGTATACCGACTGGACTGTCCAATGATCGAATTTAATTGTGGATGGGTGAAACAATACGTATCTGACATTAAAGTCGTGTACTTATATACTTATTTAGTGATATACTTATATCGGTTTATGTTTCGACTCAACCTTAACTGTACTTCATTATGTATATGTAAATATCAAGGCGGGTAGGTTTGAGAGATCCCCTACCACAACTGTACCCTGCGTTCCACCACGGTATTGTCCAGTCACCATCCTGTATCAGTTAGATATACTAGTTATCTTATCAAAGCATATTGTAATAAAAACAAATGTACAATTATATTATGTTGTATTATGGGGAACACTGTTATAAAGAATCATTTGATAAAAAACAAATGTTTAAACGAATTCAATAGTACGTACTTACTGCCTATAACGCCCGGTGGCGTTTAGGGCAGCCTCCACACGTACTGTCGACATTGCTAATTGCTTAATAGTTCCCCAGCTAGGATCCATTTCACTGAGCTCTCTTTTCACTGGGCGTCACAATGTGGTTTTGGGGCGATCTCTCTTCCGTTTACCTTCAGGAGTCCAGTGTACTGCAACCTTTGTGATGACGTGGCCCTCCTTACTTAGCACACAGATGATGTGTATAGTGTCTACGCATATATCTACTTGTCAGAGTACATGACAATGTTATTGTTTGACAAAAATGAAAACATTAGCCTAATGTTTTATTCTCAATAGAATCCCCCGAGGACTTATGTGGCCGCCAACAGACCAGAAATATAGTGTTTTTTTTTTTTTTTAAATCAACAACACTTCTTTTTGCCAAATCTACATAATCATATAGATCCTGTCATTCGAACCAAGTGTTCTTTGTTCGTCAATAAACACAACTATATGTGAATTATAACTGCCATGGGGATAAAATGCAACATGCATAGAAATGATATGTACATATTGCTCAGCCAAATACCGAAAAATATTGATGAGGAAAATGAATTGCTGATGTTAATCGAAGGCGAATGATCCTGTAGCTTTGTAGTCATGCACAACAAGAAATTGGCTTATGCGACAGTGATCGTAATCTAACTACATTTGTTCCGGTAGATATTGACGCTCAGGTACTTAGTGGTCTGGTCACCGATATTTGGCAATTAGCACAAGTTATTAAGAAAATCACGTTTGTTGCTTTATATGACATTATGTGTAAAACACGGAATGGTGTTGGTGTCTGGACAGAGATTGCATATTATTTTCTGATACATATAGAAACGATTAGCGGTGTAGAATTAAGGAGCATATGTCTCTACATGCACACACTGTAACTTAAAACTGACCATAACGTTCGAGTTTCAACAGCTATGGTCATTTAAGGACAGCCTCCCTGCGTGTAGTGTATACGTGTGTGTTTTGGGAGGCTACAATATGTTCGTGTTTGTTTCTTTGTGATAGCGCGGAACTGATGCCGACTTTATAGTGCTACCTCACTGAAACATACTGCCGAAGACACCAAGCAGGACATCCCAACCGGTCACAATAAACTGACAACGGGCGAACCAGTCGTCCCACTCCAAAATTGCTGAGCGTTAAGCAGGAGTAGAAACTACCATTTTTACAGACTCTGGTATGTTCGGCCAGGGGACAGAACCCAAAGTAAAAACTTCCTAACAGGGGCGAACGCTCAACTGAAGGCCAAAAGTGAGGCATTGTCAAGGGAGACTTTAGGAAGAAGAAAGTCGTTAAGAAAGAAGAGAAAAGATAAGATCCCAAATTTACTCGCCTCCTACGATCATGCAATGGGGGCAGCAGGTACAATTCTTACGCCCTACCTGCAGGGACCCGAATTTTAAGAAATTGAAAAATGAATCTTTTTCAAGGAAGAGCATTACTTAATTAGGAAAAAAATCCTTAACTTGACAATTTTCCTTAACTCTAATTACGCTTTATTAAAAAAAACACAATTCAAGGAATTCCTTAAGTTAAGAATCGTTCCAAAAACTATGGCCTGATTTTCAAGATTTTTCCGTCCGTGGTATGCAAAAAATTGCGAAAAAGCATTTCTTCATTAAGCGATTGACATCAATATATACCAGTGATACATGATGTACAGCTATCAGCTGGATAGAGTTGACATACTTGGATGAAAGTTTACAAGAAGTTTTGTTCTGACTTTGTATTTGAGCGAATTTTGCATTCTCCTGTTTTCTCACACAGCTTTATATACCCTTTGCAGAATACGGAGGAACTCAGCTCCGAATAACGACGCTGAGTGACGTCGTCATACCAAACAATGCGTCAAGTGATTTCAAGCTTTTTGGGATTAGGACATGACCTTGGCTGAGTGTGATGGTGGCAACCGAAAGGGCGGAGGTACTGATGGGTGTCGGTAAGTATACAGCAGTGCATATTGGTAGTTATTCCCCATTAATGAGTGTGGGGCAAACGTCCAAAATATTTCTGTTCGTTTGAGATATCTGTTGTAAATCTTATTGTCTGGTTAAAGAAATTTATTTAATCAAAATGTAATCTATGAAGCTTTAAGTAACACGGACAGATGCATATCATCGTATGATGGTGCCATATCAGTGTCTTTAAAGCCTTACCTCTAATATAAAAAGTGTCCGCCATTTAATGCAAAGTTGTTCAACGTGATAACAAATCTCAGGAGTTCTGCCAAGCTATCTGTTGTAGGATGTTTCATTTTGGGGTCCCAAGCAACACGATTGACGAAGATGCCGTCCCGGATTTATGTGGGACATTTCTATAAAAGGAGACAATATAATTTACCACCAAGAGTGTCTTTTCAGGTAGACTACTACATGCTTTATTATTAAGATAGTCAGAATTATTCAATTAAGTTGGCTAGTATTTTGCCATGTGACCTCAAGTGGACGTCACTAAGGTTTTAGAAGCTACCTTGACTATAGACAAGTGTCAGCCAAGTAGGTGTCGAACAAGCGAACATGTCGGTTACATATCATTCAAAAACAAACACGCTGGGCCCATTTATTACCAACAGAGAACGATATATACCGCCTATTTCAGCACATTAATGTTACGGAGCGGATCAAACAACTGAACGATGTACATCGGTGATTGGGTTTGTGAACATAGACCAGTCCTTAATCATCAGTGGCGTAGCAAATCATTTTTTTTATTGTGTGTTTACATAACTGGAAAAAAATCTACCAGGTCCTAGAAACAATCACCCGTGTTCTGAGAACACCTTTTCATCTGATTATTAACAAGTTAAAGTTTCACTTGCTATTGAAAAGACTGAAAGGTCCTTGAGGTTCAACAAGCCCCTTGATAGATGCTGTAGTCACCTGAAAT